GATTGTTCTCTAAATTAGGGTCCCCGTCAGGGTCCTTTTTATGAGGGTGCCGTAATCTTCCGGGGAACCAATAGTGGACCCCAACTCAGAGGACCCATATGGGTGGTTGTCAAAATTATGGCCCTTTTTGGGTACCCTAAAAATTAGGTGCCGTATTATAATAATGAGCCAAAAAGGGACCATAATTGTGACAACCACCCATATATTACATGAAGTACAGAGGGTACCCTAAATACAAGATGCCGTAATATAATAAGGACCCCAAAAGGGACCCTAATTTTGACAACTACCCACATATATATATATATATATATATATATATATGAACCCGATCTCTGAGGTGAGACCGTGCTCTGCCCCTGACGGCTCGCAGGGCTACGTAGTGCTCCCGAAGCTTCCAGCGATTTAGGCAGGGTTTAGGGCTTAGGGTTTAGAGTCTAGGGCTTAAGGCGTAGGGTTTCAGAGTTTAGGGTTTAGGGCTTCTGGTTTAGGGCTCGAGGGACGGGACATGGTGTCAGGTGTCTTTGTTTCGGGGGTTTGCAGGAGTTCGGGGATGTAGTGGATTAATCAGGGTACCTCTCTAAATTTCGATCCCTGTTCAGATCCCCAAAATGGCACGACACCCTCATAAGAGGTGACCCTCACAGGGACCCTAATTTAAATCACTAGCCAGTCGGATTTTCTCGGCTGTTTAGCTGAGCGGGTTCGCATCAAAAGCCTGAGAGTTTCGCAAAGACCCTTGGGGGATGTGTAGAATTTTCCTGGCCTAAATCCTAAACTCTAAAGCCCAGTCCTTGAATCCCTTCCGCACTCGAACCCCGCAGACCAGATCCCGAATTCTTAAATCCTTGAGCCTTATGAAACCCTCTAGAGCGCAATGATGAAGCATATTACCTCGTAAACCTCTCAGCCAATAAGATAATGTAAACCCCAATACCCTGCAAAGTTTAGTCTCCGAACTTGTAAAGTACCCCTAAAGCGTGTAGAGCCCTAAACCCTAGAACCCTAACCTAAACCTCCAAACTCCCAAACCCTTAAACCCTAAATTCTAAGCAAAACCCTAAACCCGTAAAACCTAAACCCGAAGCCAGAAACCCAGAGACTCCAATTCCTTTCATTAAGGAATATGCCTTCTGTAGTTTATAGTAGGATCCCTCATATGATTTAAGGAATATGCCTTAACTACGGGATGTCGGAGTTTCTGGAACCCTATAGCTTCCCTTGAAGGAACCCTACAGCTCTCTTATACGAGGAACCCTTTTGGTCCCAAAAGGAACCCTATAGATCCCTTATCGGAGCCCTATACATCCCTTAAAGGAACGCTTCGGAGCGTCTGAAGTTAACAGTCGGCGCAGCGAGATGTACAGCTATCCCGGGACCGATTCGGGGTTCTTAGTCTGCCAAGTGCTGACAGGGTTCTGGTATCGGGTTGAGGATTTTACAGGTTCCGGTATATAGGCATTAGGGTTTTAGAGGTATAGTATCGGGTTCAGGGTTTTAGAGAGAGGTTCAGGGCTGTAGAGGTTTAGGGCTTTAGAGCTTGAGGGTTTCAGGTTTTAGAGCTTTAGGATTTGTGGTTGTCAGTCATTGCTTTGCTGACAGGGTTCTTGTGAAGACCTATATGGGAGGTTCCGAAAATGAGGGGTATTTTATTATTTTGGGGTCCTTGTAATAATGATCCCACTATTTCGTGTACTATAATTAGGGTTCCCTGATTTTTCGGAAACTCCCATGTGTTGCCGAGGGCTATTGGTTCTCGGAGTTTCGGGAGTTTCTCAGTTTGAAGTTAGCATCTGTCGAGGCGCCTTTGGAATATCAACACCAAGCCCTAGTGGTTTATGATCTAGGGCCAGGCTTACTGCTACCAAGAGTTCGATCTTGCCGCCGTCCTGGTAAATCCATGCCGTAGTTTCGGTGTAAACCTTAAGCCCTAATCTGCCCCAAGCCCTGTCAACGCTGAACGCCAAAACCCTAAAACCCCGAGCCGCACTTCCGGGAAGACGACCCTCGCTCTCCCGTTCGCATCGCGGCCCGTCTCGTGGAACGAGGGGCGCTTGGCTGCCCGCGTGTTGAACAGACTTGGCCTGCGAGCGTAGAGGAGGACGCCAAAATGACTGCCAAGCATGTCGGGCTCAGGGGATCAGGGTTTAGGAGTTCCGATTCCGAGTGTTGTGTACAGTGAATTACTTCCAATGTCTGGGAGCATGCGAGGGCCTCAGCTCAGCCTCCATAATTTGTTCAATATTCGCAGCATTGGGCTTAAGCAGTGAGACATGCCGTTTCCCTCTACGGTGTGGAACTTGTCCATGCAGTCTCTGGAAAGGTCTAACAAGTTCTAGCAACCATCAGTACTGTTAATGTTAATACTCATAAGCATGATATAAATATTAAATCTGTTAGTTCAAATTTACCAAATACTTTTACCAAGCAGCACAGCAGCAGTTCGGGTTGTTCGCTTACAAGTGCCGGCTCTACTCGTCTCCGAAACTGAGACCGGCGGCTGGAGAGTTCCAGACAAGATGGCGACCTGCGACATGTTCATCAAACTCATGATGTGGCTTGGCCAGAATCTTCGTGTTTAGGGTCTATACTGTGTAGGCGGTTCAGCTTTTTGATCTAGGTTTGCTAGTAGTCGTAGCCGTAGTAGTCGTAGTCGTAGTCGTCGTCGTCGTAGTAGTAGTAGTAGTAGTAGTAGTAGTACTACCTGAGCAGCAATCTGAAGCGATGATGAGTTGCATTCACAGTCTGGAAGTTAAAGAATAGGATCCTTGTTGTAAGGACCTCTAAGCAGGCTAGCTGCATCTTTTGGGTTTCGAACCTCGATTGAAAAGATCATACATCAACGGCAGTAGTGAGTCCCGAAGAGTCAGTCCCGGTGCGCCAGCCAGGCATCCAGTCATGGCTGGGGTTTAAGGGGTTCAGGGGTTAGGTGATGCGGTTCACTTCGAGTCTTCAGATAGGCTCCCTAAGTCCAAGCCTTCCTCGCCGAAAAGTACCGAGAGTGTGGCGATGATGAAGATGACGATGCGCATGCCGATGGTAGCAGTGAGATTCGTGCTGGCAGCAACCGTTATCGTGATGACATAACTATCCGAACGTAAGCTCTTTAACGCTGCAATGTACCACCCCAACGGAGCCCTGCAATCACCCAACGAAGCCCAAAGAACACAGGCTGGGCGACACGGGCCGCAGACTCAGAATCCTAGTTTCGAAGATTCGGGGTTTCAGGCCTCTGGATGGTGTGTTCCTTAGGGTTTAGGGTTCAGGGCTTAGGGTTTAGGTTTTAGAGTTTAGAGTGTTCTTGTGTTTCCATCTAGGATGCCCAGTAGTACCCTTATTCCCTTTTTGTAGCCCTACGTTCCTTAGAAAGTTACCCAGTGCCAAAAGGGGAGCCCTCTTTATTCCTAGGTTACTGGGCATCCTAGCCATGATAGGGCTCGAGGTTTCTTCTATGGGCTCTTGAAAGATTCGGAGCGTGCATGGATAGCGACATCATTACCCAAAGCCTGCGACCCGAAACGCCAAAGTACCCAGAGCCTCTTAATATACCCTGATCAGAGAATATACCTTAAACCTGAAAACTCCTTAAATATTACAGGAGGATCCTATATGATTGACGGAATATTAAACGCAAGAAATCCTGGAAGCGACGGCTTTCAGTTCTTTCGGCCCCGGAGAGGTGATGTGGGATTCAGGGTTTAGGGCATCGACCCATATGCCCAAGCCCTCTGTACTCCCCGCTTTGGGTCCTTATTATAGTACGGCACCTGGTAATTCGGGTACCCAGAAAGAGACCATGATTTGGAAAACCACCCATATGACAACGCTGACTTATTCATATTCAGTATGCTATTATATGGTATACGGTAGCAGCCCCAAAGTTGGAAACCCAATAGCCTCAATTCCTAAGAGTAATGTATAGGGAATCCCAGCACTGTTTAGCATTCATCCGGTTTCCAACTTTTTGGGGTTCGCTGTAGTATGTTAGTTATAGTGGATCATAGAATCAAGAGGGTCCAGCAGTCCGTTTGGAGGTTTACGATGTCGCGGTTGGTGTAGTGTTGATGCCGGAAGGCATAGACTTGCGTTTAACAGCTATGGAACCGCCTTCTTAGCTTGGTTTTCTTATTATCAGCTGTATAGGCTCCAGCTGCACGTGCTTTTATTGCTGTCGAGGTTGGACTACATACTGGCGTCAACTGAGAGCAGTCTTGCATGAAGCACCGCAATTATTGAGGCTTCCCTGCGCACTCAGGCGGGGTTCTGCAACAGAGAATACAGTCTACAGTCCTTTAGCCTAATTAACTTAAACCAAAGCCCTAAGCTGTAAGCCTGTAAGCCCCAATCCCTAAACCCAGAACCATGAAGCCTTAGTAAACAGAAGATCCAAGATTTTGTTTTTTGGCATGGGTTCTTAGGCCAAAACCCTAAGCTGCAAGCCCTAATCCCTAAACCCAGAACCATGAGAAGCCCTAGTACACAGAAGATCCAAGTTTTTGGCATGGGTTCAGGCCAGAGCATATCTGGCCGGGTAGAAACACCATAAGAAACTGTACTTACAGTAGAAGCCAGAAAGTTGGAATATCATTATCCTCATGCCCTTAAGGCAAAGTAGAGGGAATCCTAGCATTAATCATCCCAAATCAATGTTCCAACTTTCTGGGGCTCACCATGAAGACTTCCCTGGCAGAATCCTATCAGTCATAAACCCTCAGCCCCAAACCCTGAACCCACTCCAGCCTTGCAGCGCGAATCAAGATTGTTCAAGACCACTCCTCCTTTAATCCGACGTAGGGTCTTTGCTATACTATAGCTATAAAAGAGGAACCTCCAAAATAGTATAGATAGTTATCAAAGCCTATAATCCCCAAGTCCTCCTAAAACTTCAAATCCCAAGTGCTCCCAAAAGAGTTCGGACTCAGACCCTTAACCCTCAACCCCAACCCTGAACCTTAAATCCCGCAAACCACCCACGCCCCGCCCCCCCTCCCCCCCCCGAGGTGTCGGCAAGACAGCCCTGGTGGTGAAGTTCGTCGACGATGGTTTCAAGAACGACAACAAGCCAACCTTCGGTGTGCATCCCAGGCTCCAGGTCCTCAAGGTTCCGCAAGAGGTTAGGGTTTTAGGATTTGGGGTTTAGGGTTTTAGGGTTTAGGGTTTAGGGTTTCAGGTTTTAGGGTTTAGGGTTTAGGGTTTAGGGTTCTAGGGTTCTAGGGTTTAGGGTTTAGGGTTTAGGGTTCTAGGGTTCTAGGGTTCTAGGGCTCTAGGGTTTAGGGTTCTAGGGTGCAGGGTGTAGGGTTGAGCGAATTCGGAGGCGACGATGTCGCTCCTTGCAGACCCGTGTCCTCCCTCATACCCGGTGAAAGGGGAAAGGCGGATGGCTTCAGAATATGAGTGCCTAGGCTTCCTACAAAGGTAAAAGGAGGGACCCTTTATAAGGACCCCTAGGTATATACCCTTAATATAGCTATTATACAGAGGCCCCAAAGTAGTTCCCTTTTGGGATTACCCTATCAGATTCTATATATGAACTCCCAAAAGGAACTACTTTGGGGCCTATGGGTAGACTTCCTACAACGGCTACCACAGGTTTAGGGCTTCACGCTTCGGAGCGTTGGGCTTGGATCACCCACGCTTCCGGCTGTCGCACAGAGTTGGATCGAAGCTTGGGCTTTGTGAAACTGTACGGTTGTAGGGTACATATACATACATACATACATACATACATATATATAAATACATATGTGTATGTCTATATATACATAGGTTTCTATACGTATGTAATTGTATTGTATTGTATTATACTATATTATGTTCTATGTGTGCATGTACGCACACATCGTGACCTGGACATATCTGTTGTATGTGGATGTTTCAATATACATGATCATGTACACGCATATCTGTTTGTCCGTCAATTTTTTTCAAGAAGGGTCTAGCGCTGTTTAGCGAGTTCAGAGAACCATAGTTTATAGCGATAGCAGCTCAACAGTAGCAACTACATGTAGGGCTTGGTCATATGAACTGGAAGTTGGTATCCTGCACACTGATGACCGTACTCTGCCACCTTGCCTATGGCTGGAAAGGAGGAAACAAGTTAAATCATCTTAATCCCTAGCCCCAGGTATCGACTTCAAGAACAAGATGCTGTGGATGGGAGGTGCGGTGCTGGCGCTTCTGTTTGAGCGGGGGGGGGGGGGGGGGGGAAGGAGTTCTCGTTTCGGGCGAGGCGGCTGCATGAAGCTGGAGAGTTTGTCAGCCTCGTAGACTGTCGACGGGATTCAGAGTGTCTTGTGCATTTCTTGCAAGGCAGCCCTGCCTACAACTCCCAAAAGGACCCTATCTGTGAGCGGTAAAGGTCCTAAATTTCAACCAAGCAACAAAAAGGCAGGCACAAGCATTGCATGTTAAGCCCTACACCACCATCATCCTACACTCTAAAAACCCTTAATGCTCACGGGCAGGCAAGCGGGTGAAGATTCAGATCTGGGACACCGCGGGGCAAGAGCGTCATCACACCATCACGAAGCAGTGCGCGCTGTGATTCTGTGATATGTCGGGACATCAGACAGGATGATCGGCTTTCAGGCTTCCGGGTTGAGTGTTGTATATATATATATATATATATATATATGTATATATATATATATAGATATCACCATATTATGTACATATATAAACCCAAATAAACAACTATTTCTGAGTATTTCAGGGATGTTTCATAGTACACTAGACCCCATGTATATCGCCGCTGCAGGTACTACCGAAGTGCTATGGGCATCCTCCTCTGCTATGACGTCACGCGAGAGGCTCCCGGTGAGTGCTAGTGGGCTTTGACTGTTTATATAGCATGTTTGGCGGTAACAGAAGCAGTTGCTAATCGTACTTTGTAGGGTTTATGATTTCTCTTCTAGTATACTACACCCACCAAACCCTATTCTGCTTGAGAAGGCCCCCATATTGCATGGAAAGCCATCATTGCGGCTAGGAAGCCGAAGCCGGAATACTCAACTAACCCTTCCAAATCCTGAAATGAAACACTCAAAAACGAAGACTCCTAACGCTTCTAAGCCCGGTAGCCTCGAATCGGAAACTCCACAATTCTGAACCTCGGCTTCCGAGAACCCTAAAAGCCCTGCATGCCCAAGCTGTACAGCCGGAGACCTTGATAATGTAGAGGTCTGAATCCGTACAGATGTATATATATATATATATGTATGTATGTATGTATGTATGTGTGTATATATATATAGATACATACATACATATATATATATATATATGTATATATACATATGTATATATATATAGATATATATATATATATACACATATATATATATAGCCATACGATAACACCCACACACACACACCGCTCCCAAATGAAGCTGTAGTCTAAGTAGCAAGAGGCGGGATGTTTCATGAGACCAGAACCAACCTTCTGGACCCTAAACTCTGCCATCATAAAAAAGTATCAACCCTAAACTCTAAACCCTAAACCCCCCCTAAACCCCAAACTCCTAAACCCCAAACCCCTAGACTCTAAACCCCAAACTCCTGAACGCTAAACCCCTAGACCCTAAACCCTAAACCTAGAGCCAGAAAGGGATCCCGTAGTCCTCTACGCCCTAGACCCTGCCTAGAGAAACCAATGTACCGTGCAAAGAAAAGGATATGGCCCTAAAGCATAACTACATTGAATGTGCTTTTGTTTTAGGGTCATATCCTTTTAAATCTCCCCTCTTGCAGGACTCCTTTCAGAATATCAAGCGCTGGAACGAGCAGATTGAGCTGCATGGCGCCAAGGCCGGTTAGACATCCCAAGGCGTATCAAGGAATTTTTATTTAGTTGGAAAGGGCAAAGAGGGACATGCATGTAGTCAAGTGGGCGAGCCCTCGTGGTGCATATGTGCACATGTAGTTGCGCTTGTATGCAAGCTTCTATGCTGCAGAGCAGAAATAGAGCCGGCTGCAATCTGCAGAGTCTCTGCCTAAATCGAGGATTGTGTCATAGTATGCTCTAGTTATTGATTTAGCTCGCACTGTATTGCTCGCGCGGAGAGTTTTAATGACACATTAACGAGAAGCTCTCTTTGTTGGTAGTTGAGTTTGCAAATCATGACTTTGGGGGTTGACGGACACATCTTGAAGCCGAGCTTTTACGCTTGTCTCAGCCTTGTACCGTAGCATATTTTGGGTACGGCCCCCACTCAGTAATAGTTGAATAATACTCATAGTATAGATATATTCGGACCTTAGTAGCCCTATTATACTTACTGTATGGGGGGCAGTACCTAAAGTATATTCTATCTGAGAAGTTTCGTCGTTGCGTTGTGCAGCGTACTTCTAAATGACGCCGGGCTGTGGACTCCGCAACAGGATCCTAGCCCACTTTGTTCTGATTAGCCAATAAACCAGGACCCCCCAAGGGCCCTTAAATGGATCCCTTATGGTCCTTAATAGTGGGTATTTTGGGTATATCAGAGGGTGGTTGGGGGGTCTAGGAATTGCTCTCCCTTTTGAAAAGATGATCACCGAGATCCTGATATTTGGGCCCTCAAAGCAGCTGCTTGTTAATCAGGGATCTACATGGTTCAACACTTGGCCACCGTCCTCCGCAGATACGCCAAGCCAAAATACGAGCTGTCTCTCCCTTTCTCTCTGGGCGGCATATATGTATATATGTATGACATATGAGCATATGAGCAAATCCACCGACCCTCCGAACCCTCACCTCTTCAGTAAACCCGTAAACGCCAAACACCGCTTCAAGGCGTGTCAGAAGTAAAAATCCAGCCTGGTCCTAAGACCTACTCGAAGGACGTTCAGCGCATCCTGGTTGGAAACAAGGTGCGGGACCGAACGGCTAAGCAAAGTGCCCAAAAATCCTGCATGTTCCACCGAATCCTTAAAACGAATCCTCTATGCCAAACCCTAAACCTTAAACCCCAAACCCCAAACTCTAAACCCAAGCCCTAAGCCAAAGACCAAGCAGAAAATCGAAAACTTGACCTTCCCTCGTCTCCCATCATTAACTGCCATTACGCAACCATGGCACAAAATTCCTCTTAGGGGTACCTGGAAATGAATGCATAATTTCTGGTGACTATAAGTCCCCCAAAACACTTATACTTTTAGCTTTTGCAAGAGTACCAGGTTCAGTGGGGGTTGTCTCTTTAGCTCGTTGGGCTCACGGGTCTTTGCAGGTAGAACCTTGTAGGCTTCAACAGGGTTCTGCAGGGCTGTATAGAAATCATCGGTAACCATGCTGAATGATATTATAATGATTGTCATGTGCTTCATGTTGCAGCATCTGCTTCATGCTTCAGCATCTGGGGATTCGCGAGTGCGTTTATGCCTCGTCTCATATTGCTGCTTTAGGCTGTGTTCGCCCCTTCTTCGTTTCATCTTCACTGGTTACACTCTGCGAAGCTATGTTTTATGATGCCCCCCCGCCCCCCGCATTCCAACATGAAAAGCTGCAATGAGGTCGATGCGGAGGACATCGCCGTGTCCCCGGAGAGGGGCAGGGCACTGGCGGAGCAGCCGGGGCCCTTGTCTTCCGACCTGTGCTGCCCCTTCTGCGAGTTCTCACCCAACCCCACCCGCCCGTCAAGTCTTTAGGGTCTTAGGTTTAAGGTTTAGGGTCGAAGGTTTAGGGCTTATAGGATCTTATAGGGTCAAGAGCGAACTACGTACAAACGTTCGGCTCCGCATGCCCTGAGCTCTGCAAGCAGAAGCTGCACAGCTGAAGCCTTCAGCTCAGGTATGGCTCAGAGTTTACGGCTCAAGGTTTCAGGGCTTACCGGGTTTGGGGTTTAATGTTACGGGATTTATAGGGCCTAGGGCTTAGGGGTTGAGGTTTCATGGTTTATAGGGTTTGGGCTTTAAGGTTTCAGAGTTTACAGGGTTTAGGGTCTAAGGTTTCAGGATTAATTCGGTTTGGGGTCAGGGTTTACAGGGTTTAGGCTTTAGGTGAAGACCTTCAGCTCAGGTATGGCATGCCCTTCTTTGAAGCCAGCGCGTGGTTCGGCGACAACGTTAACGAGGCAGCGGCTGCGGGACCACCTTGAACGATGCATAGGGTTTTCCGCTTCGGCAGCCTGCCTTCGAACAGAGAGCGGTTTACGGTTGGGAGTTTAAAATCCTTAATTAAGAATATCCCTTAAATCTTATTAGGGATCCTACCACGATTTGAGGCATATTCCTGAATTGAGGGATCTTGGAGTCTCTGGGTTTAGGGAGTTGCAATGCGAACTCGCAGAGGCCTTTCTCAGACTTACGGAGATGGTGATCCGGCAGCGGCGCCGGGAGGTGGGCCATGGAAGCCGTAGGCTCTAGCTTCAGATGGCACAGGGTTTGGCTGGCGGCAACCCTACATACCCAGAGACTCTAACATCCCTTACTTAAAAGAATATACATTAAATTATAGTAGGATCCCTTATATGATTTTAAGGTATATTCCTTAATTAATGGTCTTGGAGTCTCTGGGTAGATCAGGCCTCTTTCAGAAACTCCGCCTTGGGAGGAGAGCTTGTCGGTCCTTCTGGCCCCTTCAGGGCAACGTATATACTCCAGCATACTATAAAGGGATCCATAGGGTTATGGGTCTATAAGGGTTCCCGTAAAGGGCTCCTATAAAGGGCGGATCCATGGGGTTATGGGTTTTACAAGTTCTAGCACAGACCTACAAGAAACTAAGAGGCAGTAGACAGCAGCAACAGCCGCAGCCGCAGCCGCCCGGGTATTTCGAGAGGACGACTTTCCCTTCAGGAGGCACCCAGAGACTCCAATATCCCTTAATTACGGAATATTCTTTAAATCGTAAACGGGATCCGACTATAACTTAAGGAGTATTCCTTAATTAAGGGATATTGGAGTCTCTGGGCATTGGGCCCAATATCCTGTCCGGAAAGCCCTTAACCGTTGACCATATACCGAATTTTGGATAAACGAAGGTGCCGCAAAGTCATCGTAGAATCCTTACCGAAGCGGCTCCTTCCGTAAAGCCCAAAGGCCTGCCTGAACTCCGTGGAAATGTGAGGTAAGAGGTATGGGCCGCTAGTATGGACCCTTCGACCTTTTTGAGGGAGTTCTAGGGACCCTTAAAAGTCTATATAGGCTATTTAGTAGGTATATAAGGATCCTAGGGCTAAGGGCCCACACTAGGGGCCCATGGTTTCAACCGTTGAGGAAAGTTGAGACCTGCCTGCAAACCCGAAAAAACGGGCCTTAATAATTACCTATACTGTTTTGGGGGTTCCTTCGTATAATCCTTATAGTATAATGTACCCCAAAACCTTATTCTAATTGTAAAGGCCCCTATAGTAAACAGTTCTAAGGCCCCTTTCCGAACTTCAGCACCGGGACCAGAAGCACCTGCGGGCAGGACGAGCCATTTGTGCCGAACTCTCTCCGTCTCCACAACGACGCACGCTCTTCTCCTGTTTAGGGCTTAGGGTTTAGGGTTTCCGAATTTGGTTTGAGGTTTGGGGGGGAGGGGTTAGGGACTTTTTTGTCTCTCTTGAGCCGCAAGTTCCAAATCCCAGACTCGATGACGGCAAAGCTCTCGATCCTACATCGCAGAAGCCTAAGCCTCTTGGAGTTCCTCAGCTCGAAAAATGCAGTCCCCGGAAGGAGTTCCCTAAAATCCAGGGACTCAGAGAGTCTCAGCATCCTGACCGCTACCGCTTTGGCTGTTTTGCTGCTGCTCCACTGCGTCTGGTTGCTGAAGGTACGTATATACCATCCGTTTCGTCGCGTGGTGCACTTGTGCACCTAAACCCCTGAACCCCTAAAACCCTAAGCCCCTAAACTTTAAAGCCATAACGACTCCAGGAGTCAGCTTCCAAGGGAAGGCCCTGCTGTATCCGTGAGTGAGCGGAGTCGCAAGGCCGTCGGGTTTCAGCTCAAAGTGATGCGCTAGATAAGTTTCCGAAAATGAGGGGTACCTTATTATGGGGTGATAAGGGTCCTATTGTTCAGGGTGCTATATTAGGGTCCCCTAGTTTCGGAAACTCCCATGTGGAGATTGGCTTGCATCTCCTTTATGGAGGGTCCTGCTGGCATTTCCGCCAGCGTTGCATCTGCTGGACGGCCCCTGGTCTTATCAGATTTCAAGGAGCTCCAGCATTGAATTCAATTCGCGATGCAGCTGTGCAACAATGGTAAAGCTGACACAGTAGACAGGGCTCTTGTACAAAGGCCGGCGCTGTAATGCTAGGCTTTCCGGCACAGACTTTGCAGTTAAATGCTTCTACAACCTGAGGCTCCAAAGACTTTGGCACCAAATCCTTTAGCCTCAGCCTTTGCCTTTTCACGGGCCAGGTAGCCGGAGCCCCACTTTGAAAGACTTTTGGGAAAAGCCGGAACGCCTGCGATTCAGCGTCACGCAAAAGGCCAGCAGAGGTTCCGCGGTGCGGAGGCAGCGCAGCCGGGGGATTTCGAAGTAGAGTAGAAGCCCCCTCCGCAACTTTCGGTGGACTCCCACGTGGAGGATC